AAAAAAACGCTTCCCACTTCTGATTTCTTCTGCCTCCTATAATGCAGTCCTAGGGGCTTTTGTCGCAGCAAATGACTCGAAAAATCACTTAAAAACGGTTTTTGGGCGAGAGCGAGTGCTGGCGAATTTAGCGAGCAGTCTCAAATTCGCCGGGCGTCGCTGAAGTAAACAAACTCAGGGGAATATTAATATACAATAGTTTGATTGACAACTTCTTATATGGTGTAGATTTAATATTTTGAAATATCAGTGTCAAAAACAACCTAAAATCCCCCCAAAAATTGAGGCATTAAAGGGTTATTACAAATTAGTATATTTTTTAAAGAACACATCAAAATAAGGGATAAATTTGAAACAATAACATAAGACTGCTTTTCTCAACGTTTTTTTGACTTTTTTCGCGATGTTACAATGGTCTGACACAAATATTCCGTGTAGTTCAATAGCCAATCAGAATTTTTTAGATGCCTTTTTTCTGATTTGATTTATGGATGGTTAATCTTCTTTTTTATGATCAATTTTTTGCAGCATGCATTCCTAGTGCACTTGGTATGGAAAGTAAGGCCATCCGTGACTCGCAGATTACAGCTTCCTCTACCCATATTAGTGGAAACTATCTCTCTTATTATGGTAGGCTTAACACAATACTTGGTAGTGGTGGATGGATACCTAAATCTAATACAGTAGGACAGTGGATACAAGTTGACCTACTCCAATTAACCAGAGTTACAGCTATTGCAACGCAAGGTTGCGCAAAGTGTGATGAATGGGTGATAACCTACAGTCTACAGTACAGCGACGATGGAACTAGCTTCAGTGACTATGAAGGGGGAAAGACTTTACCTGGAAATTTCGATAGATCAACAGTTGTCAAAAACAACCTTGATCCTCCTATAACTGCCAGGTATATCAGACTTCTGCCAAAGACATACAAGAGCTACATGACAATTAGACTGGAACTTTATGGCTGCCAACTATAAACAAAACTGTAAAGTTATTATAAGTTCTCTTAGTGCACAAGGCACCTTTTGGAAAATATATCTTATCTTAAAATGTACTATGCCGGTGAGCACTTCTACGAACGAAACCAAAAAAAATATCTAAATTTATAGCTTTGGGATCGACAAGACGTTATTACAGATTGGATATGCTAATGAATTGAAAACAACCAAAGAATGACTTTTGATTATATGATATAGCAGATGTGTGGCCGGAGTTAGTGCAAATTATTCATATATCTTTTTTTACGTTGTACCAGGTACTTGTTACACAATTTTTAGCATTGTGTTACTCCTGCATTACTTTAAATTATATTAACTAGCTAACAATCGCTCCTATCGAATTAGCCTCCAGAAAAAAATAAGCCTTTGGTTTCCTTTTGAACTGATTGCCACCTGATCGAGAGAGTAGCATAAGTTGACACAATAAGTTGACACTATTTTCCTTTTCAAGTTTAAAAACTGCACCGTAGATACTTACATATATAAACCTATTAATCCTAAATGGATAGCTGCCCAATCATTTCTAACTGGACATTTAGAAATAATACATCGATAYATGATTCAAAGGTAATACKTATATTATGTTAAATTTGGCAGTCCTCGGAACTTTCATTCAGTATGGAGTCCTATTAAATCATACAATCCGACAGAAATTTTAATTTTAACGCTTAAAAGCGTTTAGTAATAACATATTTTAAAATTCCTTTTGATTGAAAGTAAAATATCAGGGTCTTAATGGGGGGGGGTCTCAATGTCGGTAGTCAGTTAAAATTTCAAGCATTTGTCGCTAGTCAGTTAAAATTCTAGGCATTTGTTGGTAGTCGGTTATTTAAAAAAAGTTGATAAACATTAAGTTTAAATGCATCTAAAACGGTGATTTATGACCAACAGAATTCTTTCTAAAATGCCAACAATTGAATCCTCGAGTCTTGATTGGTCAACTGGATGCCCTTAAAGTTTTAGAGTGGCTCATCACAACTTCAAGAAGCCAATCCGAAGCAAAATTTATTTTCTCCGCAGAAAATTTCGAATGTAGTTGCTTGAAAAATTAAAAAAAGCTTGTATTCACGGAACTAACATTCAGACCCTGTTATATATGTCCAATATTTAGTAAATTTGAGTTTGAAACAACTTTTGGGGCAAACAAAATTAATTTTTCACTTTTACAATAACGTGTGCATAAGCACACGTTATTAGTTTGTACATATCCGGGTATCATGTATCAGTTGTAGTTCAAGTGTACTAGTCATAGTACTGTTTTATAAAATCTTATGGTAACAGTTATCATAATAGTTATCACATAAGTTTCTCGACAACCCGTCGAGCAGCAATTCAAGAAGATGAAGAAGAATCGAACATAACGAGCGCGACGAACTCCTGAGTCTTGAGGAATTGCGGTCCGCAGTGGAGGCTACGAAGAAAGAGCATCACTCGATCGCGCAAGAACACGAGCGTGCATGTCTTTTAGGGTTTCACTTCTCCCTTAACTGAATAAATCTCTATTCTGCCAAACAAACCAGTGTGTGTTCTATGAGTTTTAATTATTTGCATTTAGGGGAATTAGATATAATTACTCAGTGTATAGGTGTTGAACAGTCTTTTTGTCTTCTCTTACGGATTTGAGTCTTATCCATTTGAAAGAGCACTAGCCCGATATTCATGATATTTGTGGAAATGTTTTTTGCGAAGTAATAATTCACGCTGCGTGAGCAAAAAAGGAAGTTCGACCCCAGCGACAGTGATGCAGATCAATTTCACCACATTCACAACGCAACTTGTCTGGTCCTATCATAAGTAATAATATATTCTTAACGTTCGTCGTTGTGCCAGTCTCTTCGGTGCAGAGAACCGAATCACCAACATGTCTTCCTCAAAGGATCCTGGCAAAGCGTATTATTGTACCCACACAAAGTTAATTGTTGTTACATTCCTTTCGCATACATTGTTATTTTGTGCTGGTATCTTTTCAATTTATGCCGCAACAAATCATCGTAACAAGTGTTCGATGGCCAAAACGGCTCGTTCATTCCAGAAGGCTTATAATTTATATTGCCCTTAGTATGGCGCTCTGTTACCCACCATGCATTGTTTCATGATCCTTCTAAAATTGCCTCCTTGAACTATCCAATTCATTCGAAATCAATAGACAAAGGTTCATGACTATTTATGTTCTTCTGAGATTTTGGTTATGCTTTTACTCCTGTTTGTACGAGCCAAGAAATAATATATGAATTGCTGTTATTCTCAATTCCGTTGTTTATCTTTTCTAGTATTTTTTTTCCCTTGCAATTGTGAACACAACACGATATATCTCATCACATAGTTGTGGTTTCGTCTTCAGTATTGGATAATCAAAACTATAAAGTTGGGCGAAACTTCAAATGAAAATCTGAAAAAAGTTGATTGATAGACACTTGAATGTAATGATATAACTGAAACCTACTTATATCCAAAGCCATGTAGAGCTTTTAACATTTTGTTTCTTTGCCAACTTTGAATATTGTACAGTTCATGGGGATATAATAAGGCCACATCAAACAAATGAAATAATAATAAGATAAGACATATGTTATTCATAAACATTATTATGGCCAATAAGTTAGAAATATATCAAAAATGCAGTGCTACTTGTCATTTCCAAGAGAACACCAAGGAATAACCGGATAACTTACATATCTTACAATAGTTAGCCTCCTTTACACACGTTATGTGAAAAGTAGGTTGTAACCCTTCGGCATAACATATTTGATTTCATATAAAGGTTTTTACGTACATGGGCGCGCGGAGATCCGAATTTTTTTCTTCGAGTGTGTTCGAGAAGTGTGACACAGCGAACGAGTGGATATATTTTAATTAAAAAATGTTATGTTGTTTTTATTATATAAATTCCGATTTATATCTAGAATTAAGTTAAGAAATAAAAATTGTACGAAGGTTATCCATGAAGAGATCTCTCTTTTTCGCAAGTAATAACCTGCTAGTGCTCGTTTTCAATCATCCTCATGAGATTCAAAAGATAAAAGACCGCCGGCCATGTTGTTTGAATGAACAATAGATAATTAGAAATCCTTTGTTGAAGTTCAACCAAGATGGCGGCTGTGACGTATATTGCAAACGAAGAATTTCATTGAAGTTTATATCATACTGTTGGCAAGGGCAGATGAAAACGATCTTTCTAGCTCCAATTGCATCAGCGATCGAAATACGACTCTAGCAATATCCCCTAAGAAACAGCAGGTTAAACATTTTGATTCAACGCCAAAATACCTCTTAATATTTCCCTTACTTACAAACAGATCACAAGGAAACAAAGGTCACACTGAATAGAGAAAAAGATGCTCAGACACAATTTATCGACCGCAAAAGACGCAACACTCCTTGCATATCTCGTGATGTCTTGAGTTCCATTCGCATAGAAGTACGTAATCACATATTAAACCTCACAGCCTCGCAGTTTTGTCATGCGCCTTATAAGATTTGCATTCGTGGTGCTCCGGGTAAAAGAGGACAAAGAGGCCGAAGAGGAAGAATAGGTCTTAAGGGAATGAAAGGCAATCCTGGAAAATATGGTAAGCAAGGATTTCGAGGACCTTCTGGACTAAAAGGAATTAAAGGCSATACAGGGAATCCCGGACCAAAGGGACAAAAGGGAGATCATGGGAATCCTGGACCGCCAGGATCGCCGGGACCGAAAGGGGAACCAGGTGGAAAGCTTTCTCAGCCATCAGTACTTGTTTCACCATCGACATTCACAGTCACTGAGAACCAGACTGCTACCTTTCATTGCAATGCTCAGGGTAATCCAAAACCAAAGATAACATGGAAAAAAGAATCTGGAAAGATTGATTTTGTTAAAACCAGAATAGATAAATCAGGATTGTTCGAAATCTTGAATGTTAGTGAAAACGATACAGGAAATTACACGTGCTCTGCAAAGAGTGTTCTCGGAGAGGATGCAAACACAGTATCACTTCTTGTCAGATGTGAGTAAACGAGGTCTATTCGCTCTTTATCATCTTTAATCTTGCATAATGCTAGACGCAAGTATTCCTATCATTTTAGGGATATTTTCAATAGCATGCTTTTGTTTGATAGTTCCACCGAGGTTCACCAAGGTACCAGAGTCATTCCAAAGCGCTTTTCAAGGAAGCACTGTGAATCTRGAATGCAGTGCATCGGGTAATCCACCACCCATAATCACGTGGTCAAAAGTTCATGGCTCTCTCCCAGCGAAACGAAGTCAACAAAATGGCGGGAAACKTACAATCAGAAAATTCCAGTTAAGTGACAGTGGGTCTTATCAATGTATGGCTGTGAATTCCTTGGGTAGAAAGACTGTTTACACGACAATGAACTTCGTCCGTAAGTCAATCATAGTCTTCATTGAATGATATTGAACTAATAATAGTATACATGCACARTTATTGTAGAAATTCTGGCCACTATATTATATATTAAATGATGATTAATTTACAGGATTGTTGATGGTTCAAATCTAAGTCTTCTTAAATTGTCGTAAAACTGAATATAATTCTTGAATCACCGCCTTCAGTTAATAAAACGAAACAGTTTCAAAGTATTCGAATTATTTGCGATCCGTCTCTTATAGAGAGAAAAGATCCAAAATCACTGAACATTACCCATGGTACACTGATGCAAATTATAATCACATGTGTTAGTGGTCAGAATTTTTGCAAATGAATGCATTTTGTGTATAGAAATTCAACAATTTCTATATAACAAAACAGAGCTATATATGACATAGAATAAGTTTTCCCGTCACGTCAGGWAGTTATGGTGTGTGGTATTCCGCGTTTTCGTAATTTGATGAGTTCCTTTGTGACATGATAGAACTATTTAAGACTACTTTAGCTCATTTTGAATAATTTACTTACGCAGGTAGATGTAATAGTGATGCACTTGGTATGCAAAGTAAAGCCATCCATGATTCAAAAATAACCGCTTCGTCGAATGCTGGTTCAAACTACCTCCCATCTTATGCTAGACTGAATGTAGCCCTTGGTAATGGTGGATGGGCAGCTAAATCTAACACACAAGGAGAATGGATACAAGTTGACTTRAGCAAAGTAACCAGAATTACAGCTATTGCGACACAAGGTTGTCAAAAGTATTCCTTCTGGGTTAAAACGTACAGTTTGCAGTACAGCGACAATGGAACTAGCTTCAAAGACTATGAAGGGGGAAAGACTTTACCTGGAAATTCGGATCGAACAACGGTTGTGAAGAATAACCTTGAGCCTGCTATAACTGCCAGGTATATCAGACTTCTACCAAAGACATACTATAGCCACATGGTACTTAGAATGGAACTTTATGGATGTCAATTGAGTTAAGCTCAATTTTTAAGGTCTTTTAACTTTCTACATAGATAAGACAAATACTTATTCTAGGGACATTAAAGTGTTGGTTATCAATCAATCAACTTGTGTATCGATGTCTTTGTCAACTGATGTTTATTATGTTGTATCGGTTATATTGTTSCATCATGTGAGTCATCGACAACGTTGATTAAACAMATGCCTCATGGATTATTAACGATACACATAGATATTATTAATACCACAGGAGCCASTTCACTTTGTAGGAAGTGACTGGTAGGAATGGTCTGATTTATAAGACTAAATATAATTGCTCGCACATTTTTTAGTTATGCATGTACTTTTTTCTAGGGCGAGATTCTTGAAATCTGCGGTAATCTCTGTTCAGCTAGCTCATTAACTTTTTCAGACGAATGAAATGAAACTTGTCTTGACATTTATAGATTAAAAAAAGTAGAGATATATTAGAAATAAAAATAAAAACACTGAAGATGAATGCGGAATTCTTTCGTYTTTTATTTCTTAAGTGCTAGAGTTCTTATCCGTCGTTCAAAAAAGAATGCAAGTGGATCTTCAATTAAATATTCTGAAGTAATCTCGAGGCAATTCATCGAATCATTCGAGTAATGACAAAGGATTAATGWTTGCGTCTCCAAACACTTTTGTCCTTCTCGTTGCATTGGTAGTGGGTGAAAGAGATATTGGAAATCACAAAAAATTATTATTTTATTTTAAGTGCACTTGGGTGTCCCAAAATAGCTTTATCTCACCTATTCATCGTAATCATCCCTTGCAAGTTTTAAATGTAGAAATTGCAGTTTTCCTATTTAAATACCATAAACGTAACTTCTTTTGAAAAACTTTTGTTTACCATTGACCTTTGATTATTTCATCGCTACATGCAGTYTGCAGTCCTTTTCAAACATTCTGAAATCTCTTGACACATGGGTAAATCAGGGAC